GGAAAAAAAATCTATGCTAATTTTCATAACTAGATTCCTTAAGAACCGGACATATTTTTACTCTTGGTCAAGAAAAACCCTAAGGATCAACTTGAAACCTCCATTTTTTTTGTTTTGAAAGAGAATTATTTTATCTATTCACTTTTGGATTCTAATCGGATCCCTTGAATGTGAACTAAATTTACGAAAGAGAAAGCCAAAATTTGGAAAGAAAATAAGGAGAAAACAAAAGTCAGGCAAGGCAGCTGCATTTTGGCAGGTGAATCGAAGAAATAAAATATGATATAGAAACGAAAACAAACAAAAAATACTAACCAAGATTTTGAGAATCTATGTTCTTCGCGCCTCTTCACTTCTCTCGATTCTTGGAAAATTTTTGTTGAAGAGGAAAAGAGCAAAATGGAAGAAATTAAATAGAAGGGAATATTATGTGTGTTGGGCTTCGCAACACCGGTTCGGTTTTGTATTTATGCGTGGATGGATCGCGATGTGACATCAGTTTTCAAATTTATTTGATTATTTACTTTATAATTCATGCTACTATTAATGTAATAGAAAATTACTATTGTTTCCTCAACCTTCCTTTTAATGACAAAATATAAAAAAGTGTATACTGTTTGGAAGTCCCACCACATTTTCTCGCTTCCTTTTGACTTTGAAAGTTACTAATAGTACTTAAGTTAATTAAGTACACAAGAAACAAAAATCTTAATTATTTATTTAGGTGAATGGTAAGCATTAAATTTGTTATTAGGAAATAGTAAAATGATAACCGTAAAAATTTGGGAGTATTATGTTAAATGTATATTTGAAAATATATTCCTTTGGTATTTTTTTAAACAATTTATATCTCAAACTAATATATCATCAGTCACACGTTTATGCGGTAAAAAATAGACATTTCTTTGATGAAAATATAACATGTTACGTAAAAATCAACACGTAGAAAAATATGCATAACACTTACGCCGAAATTCAAAATATGTATAGTTTATGATTAATTTTAAATTTTTTTTTTGTAGTTTTATATCAAAGTACAAATAATATGGATTTATGATTATACGTCTGAAAACTTAAGTAGATTTTTTGAAAAGTTTTATTGTTGTTGTTAAAGAGAAAGTTAAATTTTTATGATTTTTGGGAGGATCTGGATTTGGATAAATTGCTAATCAAGGCGGCGGCGTGTAGGAGAGCATGGTCCTTTATCCGTGGAGTGGTTGTCTGGTCTCGACGGCGACATCAAACCTGGCGTAGGAGGCGGCGGCACTCCTCCTGCGTTTAGATCTAGGGTTTTTGTGTATCCGGTTTACACCCGGTTTGTGGTTGTAAATCGGTTTAGGGTTTCTCTAAACCGAGCCTTTAATTAGGATTTAATTTGGGCATGTACTTTTGATGGGCCTTTGTTAGTTTAGTTGTTTTATAAAGGCCCATAGAAAATCACAAAAAGATTTCAATAAAAAAACCTTTTAACAAAAAAAAAAAAAAATTGCTAATCAAATTCAAATCTGATAAAAAGAAATATATGATATCTGATTCATGTTTATTCTATCCGCACTTGACTTGAGTTAGTTGATCCCATAAAGTTTTCATTAAATTTGTTTCAAGTAAATTGTTAAAAAAACATAAATAATTCAAAAATTCATACTGTTTATCCACAAAAATATGCAATCTACGTCGTCTTGTAAGGCAGAACCTATTTTCACATTGATTGATGAAATTTGTTTACCTCAAACCCACCCTACGAGAGAGACTTAAGGTTCAAATTCACAACCCTAGTCTTGCAATGACATGACAACATAGAAACTAGAGTATTTGCACCCAATGACAATATTGTTGGGCTATTAAGAGAATGACAAGAGTGGTTTAGTTGTTACTAGGGAGAAAATATTTAGCCATCGATTGTGACCCTATTGACCTTACGCGCAACGAGGTTTCTCTTTCTCGCTTGTCACTAGCATTAAATGGGCTCGTAAAACGAAATGATTTTTTTGCGTGTGAAAATTCCGTCGTATCTTGTTTTCTTTTTTATTCTTCTTTTATTTCGTTATCATAGATCGCCCAAATTTTATGTTTTTCAACGATTTTTGGTAGGTGATCTTCTTTTACCCAGAATTTCGTTTTCCTTTTTGTGTGGTTAGTTTTTAGGACGTGATTCGTTTGGTATGCAGAACCGATACTCCGATTCTTTTCACCGATTTTGTGGTACAAGATCTTATTTTGCTCCGAATTCGTCTTTCCTTTTGTTTCTTTTTATTTTTAAATACACTAAACTTTTTGATTTTCGCGATTTTGTTTGCTATGAATGTTCCTCTTTGTTGTCTTCGTTGTGACAAAAGGGTCATGTATGTCAACGATTTTGTGCATCTCGTATTTTTTACAGATTTAAGTTTTATTTTCTCGTATGTGTTAAGTATGTTGGGGAGCTACGTTTGATTTTATAGCTCTAACTTTTTATTTACGGGGTTATCTCGAATATTTAATTACTATGTAAAGTTTTACTTCGCTAAGTAATATTTTTACGTATCTATGTATTACCTTACGCTTCGTCTCAATAGATGGGTTTTGGTACATGTTTGTTCATCTTTATGTTCGTACATGTTTGTTCATCTTTATGTTCAATTTTTGATAAGGTTTTTCGATTTGTGTATAGAGACATGGATATGACCACCTTCCCTACCCGTGTTTTTGCAGACAGAGAAGAATGATTGTGTTAATACTGTGGTTCCTATCTCTCCGCCTTAATATCTCTTATGTGTTTATCACCGATTGTTTAGATCATCGTTAGTGGTAGAGCTTCTAGTTATGACACATATTTTCCTTCGCATTTGTGTCTTTGCTTAACAACAATTAGACTAGCCGATCATTGTTGTTGATTTCAGTTGATTATTCATGTTTTTTTATTCGTTCTACTGATTTATGTTTTAGCATGTTAATGATTTTAGGTTAGTTCGTTTGTTTTTACAGATCTAGGGTCAGTTCCGCTAACTAATATAGTACTGATCTATCCAATGTATCAAATCAAAGACAGTACCACTTCGTGCCCAAGCCACTGTTGTTGTCCAAGGATTTTGCAACTTGTAATTCTCCAAGCTGCCCATGTTGTATCCCTTGCTGTTGATGGAACGAATCCAGAAGAAAGTCAGATATTTATTGCGTTAAAGCTTGACAAGTGTGGGAACTTGATAATGATGAGGCGATCAGTTTCTTTCGTGGGTATTCACTAGAATTTGGGTTTTATGTAATTCATGTTACATGTATATGGGGAAACTTACACAACTATTTTTTCATGTGCATCTCCACAAGTTACCACTGTAATACCTTTTTTTACRTTGGACATCTATTATTTTTCGTAGAGGTTTATGTTTCAAGATGCTGTATACTTTTAAACTTGCCTGTCTATTTTATTTTATATAGATGTTGTAAAATGTTTATCAAATCTATAATTAAAGTTTGAATTTAACGTTGTTGCTAGAAATTGAGTGTGTCCTTTTAGCATTTCCGGTAGTATCCTTCCCAAATTCTTTTACGTTCTCCGCATATGCTAATCCATGGTTGACCAGTGCGACACTAAAGTAATCAGCTTGAAAAATCATGTGTTTTAGTAGTGGAACCACATACAACTTTAGCTTGTGCAAATCGACCCTCATCGCTAGAAACATATTCATTTCTCCGTCTGTGCAAATATGAATAGGGATTGGTTTCATGTTACCGTCATTGTCCATCCATTGAGGTATCTCATAGGTTAGCTCCACGTTTTTTTTTGTATTATTGATTAACATCTTCATAGTCTCTTTGGTTTGGACCGACTCCACCCCTTATCTTTCACGCAATTTTATCCCCTTTCAACAGTACAAACTTCGACACACCATCACATTTTGTTTTTCCACCATCCTTGTTCTCCACGAGCGAGACCGCTAAGTATGTCGATAAAGGTCACCATTGAAGTCAAACATGTTTCAAAGACATTTATGTAACTGCATATATAGTAAAATTTCACAATTATATTAAAACATGGACTACACTGTGACTTACACATATTATTAAATGCTAATTAACTCACTAACAACTTGCTCGCGTTTGCTGATGTCACACCATCAATTCTATGCTTCATCCACGCGCAGGTTATAGAAAACGCGTTTGCGCGCTATTGCACTTCAACATTTTCGGTACCCTTTTGTCAATTTCTTTAGTCTAATTTTCTCTTTACTACTTTCTTAATTAGTTCATTTCTTATTGTCAGTTACCAAATTCACTATGAAAACTACATATGCCTAACTTCTCTAATTTTCGTTATGATTAGTTTTTCTTTACTTTCTTAATCATGTTTCTTTTTTTGTCTCGGTTTCACCCAAAAAACAAAACATTTTCCTTAATGTAGAGTGGACCAATCTATTGATTTACCTTTGTCTCAATCAAATAAAAATTAGGCCCCCCTCCCTTTTCATTAATCCTTCTTTTTCTGTCGGTGAGATTTTATTTTATACGTTTAAACAAGTATAAGAAGAAAAAAGTTTGGGGACATACAACCAAAGTTTCTTCTTGTTTTTTTCATGCTAAAAATATAAGCAATATGTTTTGGGAAAACTTTGAAATATAACCAGAGATTTCACCAGCTAACAAAAGATTTTGCGTATACGTGTAAATTTGGCAGCTATACACCAGTGTATTTTTTTTATTTGTCATTTTTACTTCAGAATTTTTTTCTTTCTTGGGTCAAATTTCAGAAGTTTAAACCGAAAGTTTGAAATAGAGTCGCCACAAAGCTTCCAAAAGAACTGAGTAAGAAACTTGAAGGAAAAAAAAGATCACAATCAAAAACAATTATGATACATAGTCTTTCCCTAATAACCAAAGATAATCATTTCAGATATTATCCATTATTACTCTGCATTCCAAACCAAAACGGCAAAAACAATTGAAATTTAGCAAAAGAAATACCCTTAACCGAAACAAGAAAATAAATAAATTTTTAAAAAACCGCAATAAACTACCCCAAAAACACCAAAACCAAACCGGTTTCCCCAGTCGCCATCTTACATACCACTCCTAAACCAATATTTGAATCTTCATGGTCCGGTTCAACTCACAAGTCCTTTAAGGTTTGTTGTTACTTTGTCATATTTTTCCTCTGCTTTCTTCAACTTTGTCTCTAACTTTAGCAACAAACCCTTGTCCTCCTCCTCTACTATCTTCTTCGCCAACTCTCTCACTTCGTCTCTTGCTGTTTCCAATTTCCTCAGCTTCTCTTCTTCATTCTCATTTACTATTATCGGAAAACAAATCTCCGGTTTGCTAACACTCAAAAAACAACGATAATCAGTTTGTCAAACGCTAACTTGCACAACAAGAAAGAAAGATAGGGATCAAGTCTCGAGCTTTACGGTCTAAATGTAAGAAATGAAATGAAGATAAGGATCAAGAAAAAAAGTCGAATACCTGCACCCGATGTATATATATCTGTTTTTTTTCACGATAAATCCATCTAAAGAGACTGCTTTACATCCATCAATGAATGGACGAGCTGCTTCGACATGTTTTTGTGTCTCATAAACCTGTAAATTGCGAAAGAGATCATAGAACAACGTCTCTCTAAGCCCGTGCCCTGAGTATGTTTGTATAGTTAACTCCTCTGAACCCAAATGAATCATGTTAACCGCATAGCCTTTAAAACCCGGTAAGGGATCTCCATCGGGCGACTTCGGATCATCCATGGATAATTTCCTCTGAGGATCATTCTCCACAAGTCCACCCATCCAAGTACTATGTGTTTGGAAAGAAAATCACCATAAAGCTTTTATAATTCTGTAAGAAATGATATTAAGAGGTTTAGCTATCCAAAAGTTTTAATCAAACATACCTGGTTGCATCATCAGATTCAAGACATCGAACATGAAGCCGATTGGTGGTTATTGATCTTCCGAGCTTAGCTGCTTCAGATTGAAGCCTCCGATACTGAACACTGTTCGGTCCAAATTGTGGCGATTTGCATACCAAAGCTAGCATTTTGTCTTCTCCCAAATATTCAGACAACACCCTGTCACACCAAATAACTTTGTGTTATTAAATTTTTGACACTAAGTAAAAAACAGTAGCTAATAAATTGATGTAACCTGCTAAGTGAGGTAGAGGAGACTGAACCGAGGAGCGCGACAATGCCAAACACTCCTTTCTTGGACAGAAATAAAGACTGCGGAGGTGGAGCTTTTCTGTACAAACAACAGAAAAGACGCTTCTCTTCGATCAATTTCATCATTGCTTCTTTGGTGGATAGGCATTCTCACCGAGAGGTTCCAGAGACGCTGAGATAAAGGGACATGTAAGAAAATGTGAGTCAAATAAACATTTATCTAATTTTAACCGATATGAATCTGTAAACACCTTGTAGCGTGCTCAACTCTTGCTCAGCTTGTGCTTGTTCAGCCTCCAAAGATTTTAGACGCTCATCTACTTCCACTCTCTGTTCGCGGTATCTATCGACACTTTCTTTTAAATACTGCAGGCCAAAAGAAAGCATTTTCAAGCACCCAACTGATCATTATAGATTATGCACTGCTTCCACAAAGGCAAAAACATACCTCAATACACTCTGCCATATCCATCGGATCATATACATTTTCTTAATAGACAAACCTCCAAACTGTGAATATGGCCACCGATTGATTTGTGTTTGATGCCATCTTTGATTGAGGTATTAGAGTCATCCTTTCAAACGGTGTAGAACGCACAATCTCCTCTCTTTCAGAAGGTGTCGAACGCACAATCTCTTCTCTTTCAAAAGGTGTAAGACGCACAATCTCCTCTCTTTCAAAAGATGTCGAACGCTGAATCTCCTCTCTTTCAAATGTTTGAGTTACCTGAATCTGGAAATCAAGAGACAAGTGAGTATTTAGATGAGATGCTATCAACAACAACAACATGCAACTGGACCAGAAATATCAGGATTGGGTTTTGAAGATGCATGCTACCCATGATGAAGAAGCTGCATTGGGTGAAGATGACCCAATTCTCATTGTTTTGAATTTTGCGTGATGGTATGTATTAGATTCTTATGGGAGATAAAGAAACATTGTTTGGATAAAAAGACTCTTGGATTTTTGCCTCAAAATGCATGTTTTCTAAGCATTTTCGTACATCCAGAATTTTTTACTAACATTGATGGTGTTGTAGAAACACATTTGAGGATTTTGTTAATGGAACCCTTTTTCTATATTTTCAAGTTTATATCCTTGTCTGAATTGGGTACTCATATCTCCAATGCTTTTGAGCTGTAGCTGTGAACGTACCACTTTGATTCTGTGAGAATTGCTAAAATTTTAGTTAACACGGTTATATAGTTGAATGAGTTTTGGCTGCTAAGGGACAAGATGATTCCAATCAATGAGACAGTCTCAGAAGTACCACTCAATCTGGAAATAAGCCTGACAAAGTGGCAACTGTTTCAGCAAATTGATCAGTCTTTCCACTTGTGTCAAATTTTAGTTAACACGGTTATATATTCTTTACATGATTCTTGGTTTCTTCCTGGAGCGTGCTGATTGTAAATATGTTCTTGCAGAGGGTGTTTTTGGAAGGAAATCCCTATCTGTTGGGGATCACGATGTTTGTTTCGATGCTTCATTCTGTGTTCGACTTCCTCGCATTAAAAAATGGTAAGTAAAGCCCCAAAAATTAACATCCTCTTTCCTAATGATTGTTGAAATGTACTTATCTTTTGCATGTAGATATCCAATTCTGGAATCTATGGAAGGACTGTCTGTTGTACTGAACTTCATCTGTCAGTTTGTCATCTTCCTCTACTTGATTGACAACGACACTTCATGGATGATACTGGCTAGTTCTGGAAAATAGGGAAAACCATGCCCACAGAAGTACATCTAACATTTGCATTTTGACATTTCAGATCAAGCAAGCATTTACTATTGAGCATTTCTGATATGAACCTTGTCAAACTTTCCGGGTTGATCGTAGTGGAATGATTCCAAGGTTGAGGTTCCACGATCGTGAATCTTATGCAAGCAACAAAACCAAGGAGTATGATGACATTGCAATCAAATTCTTATCCTATGTGCTCCTTCTCCTTGTCATTGGCTTATCCATATATTCTCTCGCCACAAGAGCTGGTATTCATGGATCTTGTCTTCACTAACAAGCTGTGTCTACATGTTGGGTAAAAACCTTCGCCTTCCTCGAAAAACCGTTGAGAATTGCTCATTGTACAACTTTTTAGACTTGAAATCAATGGGGGGGGGGGGGGGGTGTGTGTGTGTTTGCAGGTTTCATCATCATGTGTCCTCAGCTAGCTATTCATCAACTATAAGCTAAAGTCAGTGGCACATTTACCTTGGAGACAGATGTACAAGTTCCTCAACACCATTATCGACGATCTCTTTGCCTTTGTCATCAAAACGCCGATTCTTCATCAACTCTCTGTGTTCCGAGATGGTAAGTAAAATCTATCAACTCTCTCTACTTGGATTCAGATTTCAGAAACAAGCTTATTAATGGATCTATGTTCTCTCTGTGTGTGTGTGTTTCAGATGTGATATTCTTGTACCAAAGGTGGGTATACCCAGTGGACAAGACTCATGTTAACGATGTTCGGTTTTGGAGGTGAGGATGAATCTGCAGAGAAGAAGTTGATCACTGAGAAAGAAGAAGAAGACAAGAAAACAAACTAAACTCCCTGCACGTCTTCCTTTTTGTTTTGTGTGATTCCCACTTTCTAAACCAATTTTTATAACACTTAAAGTTATAGTTTCTTAATTTCTTTTTCACTTGGAAATTATTTTGTTAAAATTTTTTCATCTTAACTTTCAAGGTATTTTAAACCAAAACATTTTCAGCAGAGAACTAATCTCTGAGAAAAAAAGATGACTATTGTTAATAGCTTAATTCGATTTTGCAGAAACAGTTATATATAACATTAAATTTTTGCTACAAATGTCTCTAAAATCTTTCGCTAAAATGAAGTATTTTTAGTGATTAATTGACTCGTGAGGAAGAGGAGAGTGTTCCTCGTTGTTCTCCGACCAATCTCCTCCATTGCCATTTCCTTTCCTCATCATTGCCACAAATTTCCCATAGTCTATTTTCCCATCCTACAAAAGCAAACACCATCAGCATTCTTCAGACCTCCGTAATCACGAAACAATTAAAGATCTTTGTTTACTATTCGCATTGTCTTTGATGTGAATCGTTTATACCAAACTCCTTCCAAGCCTGTTGCATATTGAATACCAAACAATTAGATATTGATGAGTAGTTAGCCTCTTTTTTGAATTGCTTTCGAGCATTTTCTTTGTAAGATCCTTGGCACGAAATGCTTGGCCAAGGATTTGGATTTGGAGATTGTGGCTTCTCGCTTCAAGTGCGTATATACAATATATGGTGTAATATTATTCTAAAGTAAAAAAAGCTTGATGGTTCGTGGATACGAACCAATAATAATCGGAGATGTTGGTGTTGTTTCCAACCTTGCATAGAGAAAATATAAGAAATGTTGAAAAATAATACTTTCAACCCCTTTTTAATGTTTAGGATTTTTAATTTTTGAAAAATAGACAACTATTAGTGCCATTCCTAAAAATTAACACATGAAAAATAACATTATTGAAATCCCCAGTAGTTAGTATGTTTTTGCGTTCATTACGTATGTCTAGATTATACAGGGAAATAACTAATACATAATTTCTTTAAAAAAAAACATTCTGGTCTGCTTTCTAGTTCAAACAAAAGGAGCATAGCAAAGATAAGGCATAACCAGAGATAAGCTTAAGCTTCTGTGAGGAGTTTGAGTAGATGATCTCAAACCTTCCGCGCTACCACGCTTCTGTGAGGAGGAGCCTTTTCTTCCACGACGAGGTTTCTGCGGAGTAGAAAGAGACTGTTGTCCATTGTGCGGGCTCCCACCAGTTGCTAGGCTAGACCAAAGCCAAACAGAACTTGCAACACACCCCGATCCAGTTGGGACTTGTGGAAATGCCAAGAGAATATTGTTTTTCCACTCATCTCTTGCACGTTGAAGAATCCGACCGTATAGAACGTCTTCTTCCGGGATGTCTTTTGAGATGACCATCAAATTTGTTGGTTCACGATAATGCTTTGCTCCCCACCGAAAAACGTCATTAATCATGTCCATACGAGGTCTTTCTGAAACCAACCATATTATATATATT